AGATTCTTGCTAGAGGTTGTAGCTAATAAACACAGCTGAACTGATTTTGCATTGTCTCTTGGAGTTCCTTGGGCTAGGCCTGACAGATATCTTCCCAAGGCTCTTCGGAGCACATTCTTTTTCTCAACACCCATGAAACCTGGATCACTCTGAAAAAAGTGTTTCACAGAATCAGGACCACATCTCTCCAGAAGTGGAAGGATCTTTAAATGGGTCTTTGGTTATTCATGAAAGGTGAATGGATTCATACAGAAAGAGGCATAGCCTAAGTTATTTCTTCTATGCACAGATATCACCTTCAAGCCTTGCGGCATCTGTATGTCCTGGCAGCTGAACCTAGACTCCTTGTCCCTGTGGATGTGGATACAGATACCCCTTGCTATGCATTGCTGGAAGTTACCTACAAGGTACGGGCATTCTGTGACACATGGAAAAAGAGAGGAGGTATTATTCCTTGAAGTGTGGGGGAAGACTTCTCTTCCACAATTTTCCATTCTTGCTAGGCCAGGTGAAATTACTGCATAGTGCTGCCTGACCTGGAGAAAGCCAAGTTCTCTAGCTATTCTTTGAAAGAATGGAAGGGGTGGTAACTCACTATTGCTGTTTTGAGTTGGGAAATCAAATCTGCCTCAAAATTAAAAAGGGTGTTTCTGTGGATAATCAAAGGGAATGTAACATCTTTGTAAAACATTAGGCTATCAAAATTGTTATATCCACTATCCACCACTAAAAGTCAATACCAGAAAGCACCCTGCCTCCTATCTTGGAACATTTGGTGCATTCTATGTGGTAAGTGCATTAGCTTAAAGCAGCCTTCTCAGTCTTTACACCCTGGAAGAACCTTTGAAATAATTTTCAGGTCTCCGGGAAACCCTGCATAAAAATTATTATATCTATAGCTCACAGTCCATTAATGTGATCACTAAGTTGTAGATATAATCATCCAATAATTATTGTCAATGTGCCAAGTTTAAACAATGTTATTTTTTTCCTAATCACAATCTCTCACAGAACCACTAGTGACCGCTTGCAGAACCCCAGGGTTCTGCAAATCCTGTTAAGAAAGGCTGGCTTAAAGAAACAGCAGCAACCAGAAGGAGCCTAGTTGCTCCTCTGTACATAATTTAGTACAATCTTAAGATAAATGGATGAAATGAGAGAGATGGTTCTGAAGAACAGAGAATATCTACATGTTCAGTTCATCATTTTGTAGGGAGTAAAAAACAATCCCTGGCACCTTCTGTGTCAGAAATACCTTGTGACAGGGAACCTTAATATTGCTTGATTAAAATTGTTAGATTTATCCAGTTAGTCCATCTGCTTTCTTGAAACCTGGTTGTTTCATCCCATGCAATTTAGGAAACCATCTTTCCATGCTTCATGCCTGTAATGAGAAAAGTAGTGATTTGAATTTGAGATGGGGGCTCTACACATCCTGTCTAAGCTTATGTGGTTTTTGAGTGTGTTCTACATCTATATTTCATAATTTTTGGCTAAACTGTTTTGTATTTCAAAGGGAACTCAGTGGTATGAAGAAACATCTGAAGAACTCATGGCACCCACCCTTCTCCCTGAACTTCATTTACTAAAGCAGGTATGTAAGAATTCTTAGAGTTTTGTAAAATGACTAAGATCTAGCTCCTAAATTCCAGTGCATGCAGACAGCATTTCTGAGAATGCATGTTTGAGAGGGTGATATTTTCTTCTATGGGCAATACTTCATGTATCAGACTCCCTTGACCTTGCCAGGGGGAGGAATTCTTTGGGAAGTATGGGGACTTCTCCTGAAATAAGAGACTTGAGGTTTTTTTATAATCCTAACCAATATGTATAACTTAAATTTGTTATGCTTCTAGATCAGAGTGAAAGGCCCCCGATACTGGGAACTGCTGATCGATTTAAGCAAAGGCGTGCATCATTTAAAGTAAGTAGTGACGCTGAACATTTTGAATAGACACATGCTGTCTGGCAATTTTAGTGGCTCTGGAGAAATGTCAGAAGCCAAATATAAACTGCTGTTTGCTTTTTAAGCATGCTAATATATCAGCAGGATGAAAAGAGATAAAATCATGTGATAGAAGCAGTTAATTGACTATTTGTCAATTCACTATTAAGTCATCAAAATTATATTCTTGCAGACCAAAAAGGAATAATCTGTCAGCAAGGAAACTTGATATGCCTTCCTGAAATTGTTCGAGAATCTATCTGCAATAATCATTTCACTCCCTTTGATGCTGATTTTATTTAAAAAACATCTGGTTTAAGAGTATGGTGTGTTGGCAGATGAATCAACTAACTTGCTCAGTCTTAAAGTAATCTGAAAGGGAACAGAATCTGGTGAGTTATCACCTGATATCTCTATATAAACTGAGTTTCCTGAAGGTAGTGTATAAATTAATCAAGTAAATATGATTCTGCATACAATACTTTTCAGAAGTATACATGAAAAGGAACAAAGGGTGGAATAACTTCAAATAGAGTATACAGAAGTATTTGTGCTGTAATATCTATTCTTAAATTATATGAACAACCATATAGAACATATCTTGCACTGTTTCCACAAAAGAATAAATAAAATAGTTCAACTCAATATTTCCCCCTTCTTTTTCCAGATCAATTCTTTCAAAGGATGGTGTCCTCTATGTAAAACTGAGAGCTGGACAGCTTTCGTACAAAGAAGACCCCATGGGCTGGCGAAGCTTGCTAGCACAGACTGTCACTCACCGAAATACAGATGCCCATGCAGTGAAGGTAGCTCTTGTATCCCTTTGAAGTTACCATGCTACGCGCTGCCATCTAATCATGCTAGTAATAATGCTAGATAAAACATTTTCCATTTTGAAAAAACTTTTTAACTGAAAGTCGTTCCTTAGAAAGCTGAATTTCATAATGGAAAATGAATTCAGAGATGTGATAGAAAGGCAATCACTAGAAGATTAATAGTACCTGCAAAGTACTGTACCCTGCCATCTCAATAGAAACGTCTACTGTCCTTCATGAGATCCCTAGACAGAGGTACCTGTTTTTATTATGTAACTTAAAATATTGTCTGCATTTGTCTAGAATCAGTTTAAATTGATAACTGCTCTGAATGATGTATAATTATAGCAGGAGTTGGCAACCGTGACCCCCCCCCCAATCCTCAGCTTCCCAATTAGGGGCAAAATGGCCACATTTTGGTAGTGAAATTTTTGGCTAAACATGTGAGAGGGGGTACAGAACCTTTTTGAGATGACCTGCTCTGATTCCCATCTTCAGCTTCTATTCCCCCAAACTTCTGAAATCACACACGCACAAAAACTAGCATAAGTTTTTGCCTCATTGCTAACTGCAGTACAAAATAAAATTGTTATTTTGCCCTTTAGCAGTATTCCCAGGGAAAAATATGTGTCCCCCGCTTTCAGTCAGGTTCAGCTTCTACTGAAATCATGACCCATTCATATAGTTTCTTTAGCAACAGAACTTTGCCATTATTTCTCCCAGTATTGACTTTAGGTGAACTCTTTATTCCAGGTTGTTTTGGAATCACTGACAGAGTTCTGTTGTATCTGCTACTATAAATGAATGAATGAATGAATGAATGAATGAATGAATGAATGAACGAACGAACGAACGAACGAACAGAACAGAACAGAACAGAACAGGCAAGACAGAACCTCAAAAACATCAGCCTAGGTCACCACTACCTTATTTTTGCTTCATAAACCACCTCATTCCTGAGATTATGTGGTGTACAAAGAAAAATAAAATGATCCCTCTATCTGCGGTTCATCAAAGGCTTCTGGAAAACTCAGAGTTTAACTATTCTCCAGAAGGTGATAAGAGCGCAGACCATTCTTGCCTTGGGGGTTAGCTATTCCAAAGGAAGAGAGCCGCCACTGAGAACCCCTGCCTTCTGCTCTCCCTCTTGGTAGGAGGAGACCTTCAGCAGGCATTTCCTATTCACTTGGGTCAAACGGGCAGCATCTGTTTGGGAGAGGTGGTTTCTAAGATTCCAAGGCCCTGAGCCATACAGGTATTAATAACCAGCACCTTGGATTGCACCTGGGTAACAGACAGGTAAAGTGGAGTGCCATCAAGGGGGCCAGGCATACGTCTGAGGGAGAGAATTACGGAGCATTGGAGCTATCATAGAAACAGCCTACCTCTGAGCCCAAGCTTTCCTAACCTTTTGAGAGGTTAGACTCTAAGTAGTGCCTCATTCATGAGACAGGAAGAATCATTTTGAAGATAATACCCAAGACACAGTATTGTATAGAGCTTTATAGGTAATAACCACCATTCTAAATTGGGCTTGGAAGCTTATAGATTACCAGTACAGTGGCTGAAGAATTGGTGCTGTGCTGCCAAAGTGCATCTTGTGCATCAGCAGTCTTCTGTACTAACTGTAGCTTCAGAGCCATTTTCAGAGAGAGTACTGTAGTAGTCTAAACATGTGGAGATGAGGGGATGAGTTCTCACCAAGTCACTATTTGCAATGGTGTAGGGCATATAAATTGTAGTTTCTCATAAAGAATAGTAGAAACAAAAAAGGGAAATCTCTTAACTTCCAACATCATTTTATTTTCAGCCAGAAGCTATTTCTGCTTTCACATCTGATCCAGCGCTGCTTTCATTTGCTGACTATTTTTGCAAGCCAGCTGCAAGTATGGGGCAAGTACGTTGTCAGGTGTAAAGTCTAGCTGGGAAAATGAGGGAGGGTGTGTGGGGGAATTGGCTATATTGGTCAAAAAGTTTGAAGTGTCTGATGATAAAGATCATTCTTACCCAACCTGGTATTCCCTCGCTATACTGGACTACAATTCCCATAATTGTCAGCCAGAGGATATACTGGCTAGAAATTGTGGGAGCTGTAGTCAGAGACATAGGGATGGTCTCACGTGCTCTCCACAGCAAAGCATACAAGCAAGGAATTGAATTCTAAGAAATGTTGAGCGGAATTTAATATGCATAAGAATATATTTTTATTTAAAAAGAAATACAGATGTACTGCTTGTGATTGGAGACTGGAATCTCAAAGTTGGAAACATTGAAGAGGAAAATGTAGTTGGATTGTATGGTTAAGACAGGGGTGTCCAGCCTTTTGGCTTTTCTGGGCCACACTGGAAGAAGAATTGTCTTGGGCCACACATGAAATACACAAACACTAACAAAAGCTGATGAGCAAAAAAAAGGTCTGTGCATAATTTTCGTGATATCCGCCACCACAGATAAGCAAAAAGTCCTCACATAATAATCCTAATTATGCAGTGCCCTGTTCAGAGTCTTTTAAAATTGTCGAGCAGGTCCCAAGTTTGCGATCACTAATTCAGAAAATGAATATATCTAAGTAATAAAAAATATCAAAAAAAATCAATGAAGTTTTATTATAAAAGTAAAAGAAAAGAGGGCAACATAAAACTAGTGGGATATTTGACATTGTATTT